AAAAAAAAAAAAAAAAAAAAAAAAAAAAAAAAAAAAAAAAAAAAACACTTTTGAAAAAAATCCACAACAGTCAAAGATGGAAACGTGACTGTGGGGTGTGTTGTTTTCTTTTACTGCCATCTGTATCTCTTCATTAAAAAAAAAAAAAATTAATCACAATGTAGAATAAAACGGCATAAGAAGTGTGACGAAAAATACACCACAAACTTAACTATTCTTGACTGCTTATGGATAAAAAGCATTAAGGATGACAAGAAATAATAAATCCTCTCAGCTGGGGGGAGGAGGGGAAAATCGTTCTCTAGACCCAATCCAGGCAGCTTCCCACTGCCAACTCCAGAATAGCTTCATCATCCATTAAAAAGATGAAATATGATTCACCTGTGATTTTTACCAGTTTCAGTAAAAAAAAGTTATTAGCTGAAAAATGGTTTTGGACTCTTTCAGGCTCTTTTTCATGAATATAAAAATTAATAGAATCTCCTAAGGTTATGTGGGAAAAAACCACTTTGGACTACACATTTATAAGAAATAAGATCACGTAGCACAGGATCCTTCACGAGGGAGGAACACTTAAAGAAAAAGTAACGTGTTTTTTTGGTGGGTTTTTTTGGTTGTTGGTTTGGTTGGGTTGGTTTTTTTCATTTGTAGAAGACAAAATGCTATTTTGTCAGCTACAAGAAATTCTCTCATGCTTGCAACTGGAATTGTTTGAAATAATCTCTCATGGTAAAATTCCAGAAACAGACACATGAAATAGGTGTATTAGAATATCGGTACATTGTATACAAACAGAACTTGCTTTCAAGAAGTCAAGCAAAGATCACACATTTTACTGCCATCCTTGCTCTTCAAATTAAACTGCAGAACAGTCACGAGTTTGCATTTATTTTAATTGCAGATAATATTCTGAGCCACACTGAAACACCCTATGCCTATAGAAATTCACATAACAATTTACATTTCCCCTGAAATCTCTGAAAATGCAGCAGAAATAATTTACTAATCACCTACCACTTCTTTCAATAATGAGCCATTAGAATAAAACCCAGAAAAAATAGTTCAAGTCATAAACTACTCTGAAATGCTTAATGTCAGGGAGCACAAACAACAGAAACTATTACAATAGATTTTTCATTAATTGATCCATTTCAACACTCATTTACAGCAATCTTTAAACCATCTCTCCAAGAGCATGTAAGAAGAAAAGACTAATTATTTTGCTGTTGTAATTTTTAAACTGCAGGGGTTACTTCAGGAGAAACTACTTAAATTCCAAAATGGCTCGGTGCAAAAATGGCACTTGCAGAACTCCTGCAGGAGCAGGGACTTTACAGGACACCACCAACCATTTTCCCAGGACCCTCCAACTGGACCATCTGCCATAAGACACTTATTTCAGTTCATTCTTCTCCCCTTAATTTACCCTCCCTTTCTCCCTCTCCAACATCCAAGTGGAAGATGCTGCCACAGCATCTTTTGGAATGTTCTGACAGCCCCTATGAAAAGGAAAGGACGCATAAAACGTTGTTTCTCCAATGCCACATATATCAGGTACTGATGTGCCTCCATCAAACCTCCCTATCTGAAACAAGCATTTACCCACACTTCTAAGGAAAACAGCTAAGATCAAACAATTATGTACTGTGTTAGATGCTTTCCTGCACCTCCATCTCAATCACGAACTTCAGATTATTTCACGTGACAATCTACCAATGCCGACTATTTGTGACAGTAAGAACCTTTTCAATTTTATTCATCTGAAGTGCTGATACCTCTACATGAGCTTACAGAGAGGGCAGCTACACTAACAGGATTTGTTTCCATCTTATGTAAGAATGATATTTAAAATACCCAAAAGGTCTTTATAAACTATTTGGTGTCTGTGGAAACAAAAACCAACCTGAGAACATTTTTCCTAGCACAGGTCAAACGCCTGCACAGCAGCTTTCAGGTGCTTCTGATGCTCTCAGTACATCTATTCAAGTATCTATGCAGCATAAAAAACCCTGAAGTAATGGATAAAGATGGTATAAAAAAAAAAAAAAAATCTAAAACTCGTCAACTTAATTGAGTGCTGTTTCAACACATGGTGTGAAGATGTATTTCCACTGAGATTTCTTATAATTTGTACATATAGGTGAACATTTACATTAAGACCCAATTAGTATGTCAAAGAGTAATTGCAGGCAGACACTCCAAACTTATACTGAACAGCATCTACTTTAAAAATTCAAACATTTACGACAATACATTAAAACAGGGGAAAAAAAAAAAAGGCAGCATATACAGACCTTCCAGTAGTCAGATTGTAAACTGTAGTACCTCTGGTATGCAGATAATGCTGTAGGAGAGAAAAATGAATGTTCAATTTGTTTTGTTTCATTTTCTTTGAAGATAGAAAACCTTAAGAGTCAGAATACACAACACTGAAATGATAAATGGTTTAATAAAAGTTACACTGCCATGATAAGTACACTGTTGTGGGCAATGCATTCCTTAACATTATAATTTTGGTTTATGAAATGTCAACCCCAAAGTATATTTATTATTAATCTCACAAAATGTAAATCAAGCAATATTTTAAAGAAAAACCTATAACAAAGAAATCATTTGAAATTTTGGGATTTCCATCCCGGACAAAAGCTGTTGTAAGATTTAAAAATTTAATCATGTAGCTCATTTACCATGCTCCCTGATGCCCTGTAATTTTTAAAGAACTGGTGAGGAGGGACATACAAAGAGAAATCAGTTTCACATGCCCTTTAGTTCTGTAACTGGAGAAACAAAAGCAAGCGGGGGGGAAAAAGCTTACATTTTGTTCAGCATCGAGGACCGAGACTAACCTGGAAAGGAGTGCTAAGAACAGCTCTGCTCAGTACAATATTAGCTCTACTCAGCAACCAATTTCTCAAGTCACTGTTCCTGCTCCCTCTTCCCCACTAAAAATTCTGGTTGATTCATCTTGCCCCGTTGGCCAACAGGTCACATCAGACCAGAACACAAACTAGTTCTGTGTTTTCCTAGGAACACGGCACTAGGAACCCTCCAAAAAGGAAGAATTTTTTTAAGTAAAGATTCCCTGCAGTAAACACCAAGGTATTGATTTTTCAAGTGTTTGCTCCTCAAGATGTAAGAATTGTTTCCACACAGTATGCATCTTCCAAACAGTAAAAAAAGGCAACTCCTGCTCTGAAAAACTGTAAGCACTAAACAGATTAAAACATGTATTTTATATGCAGATATATTTCCTGAAAGTACCATGTCCCTACATTTTAATACCTTTCAGTGCCTGCCCTGAATATTCATTTCTATAACTTAAGTCCTTGAGTTTAATTGAAATAAGAACAACATACATAGAATGATAAAGCACACAGAGTTTTCTCTTAAAAATAAACCTTTGCACTCACCTGTCTACAGAGTCTCACAACCTTTATTTGTAAAGTCATACATGCTGAACAATGCCCAGAAGTTGCCCCTCACCACTGAAACACTTGTGAAGCCAATTTCTAATTTTGATGCTCTGAACTGTGACTCATTTACATGCCCAGAGTGGAAAAATAAACTCAGGCATCTGGGCATTATTAATATGCAATATGTTTAAATGTTTTAGTGCAACTCAGACAAACAAAATCAGTTAAAAATCGAAGTCTTTCGCAATTTAGGAATACAATTCCTCTTCCACCCCCCCAAACAAAATTAGGTGCAAACTGAAGGATGTGACTGCAGTCTAACAATGTAACTTTAAGAACATTAAAAATAAGCATATTTCAGTCACACTCTGTAATTATGTTATAAAGGGTATTCACAATAACACAAAACATCCTCCCACTCCAAAACAGTCTTTCCAGATTCAAATTCTTCCAGGTATCATTAATAACTTTTCAACAAAAAGGAATAATTAGCTTCTGAACACAGTAATGACTTTTCGTTCCCAAACAGGAACACACACACAATGAAGCAATTTTGTAATGCACCACACTTCAAAAAAAGCATTTTTTGTTTTGGTTTTTTTTTTTTTTTTTTACTCAAGCAGTACCTATCCCAATTTTGAAGGTTAAAGCATATTTCAAATATTTGGTCAGCACCACCATATGAGATTAGGAAACTGAGAACTTCTCAGTTATTAATCAACTCCAGTTCTCCCAGTGCTTCAGGCAGCTGTGGCAGAGCCCTGCAGGGACTCAGCAGCAAACCAGCCCTCTCGGCATCCCCCAGCACTGCCTCGGGTCTGCGCTGCTTCAGGCAGCATCAACTCGATGCTCTGTCGACCTGCCGGAAGGCAGGAGGGCTCTGCAGAGGGATCTGGATAGACTGGAGAGATGGGCTGACTCCAATGGGATGAAGTTCAACAAGGCCAAGTGCCGGGTCCTGCACTTTGGCCACAACAACCCCCTGCAGCGCTACAGGCTGGGCACAGAGTGGCTGGAGAGCAGCCAGGCAGAAAGG